CGGTCAGCCGGGTCAGAAGAATGGGCAGCAAAGCGAGCAGCAAGCCCACCTAGCCACAAGGCAACACGCAGCACCAGCCCACTAACCTACGCGTACAGCAAGTATCGGAAAGGACGATCACCTCCTCTTTAACATCGTACGGAAAACTCTGCAGACTGTACGGCAATGCCATTATGCCACTCTCAAGGGCCGCGGAGCCACAAGATGAGTGTTTGTCACCACCAACTTTGAACCCAACGGGTCGCCGAACACACACTGAACTGTCTGAACATGAAGAAGAAAAGAAAGGACATGCAGGAAACACGATAAGGACAACATGATGAGCGCTTAGTGGGGGAGAGAAATACTGTGTGTGTGTGCATGGGGGAGGGAGGCAGGGGCCGGGGCGGGGACGCAGAATGTGGGTTTTTTTTTTTTTTTTTTTTTTTTTTTTTTTTTTTTTTTTTTTTTTTTTTTTTTTTTTTTTTGTGTGTGTGTGTGTGTGTGTGTGTGTGTGTGTGTGTGTGTGCGCGTGTGAGTGATTTCACGTAGATACAACGTGTGATAGTCGATACATCAGCCACTGACAAATTAGCAATCCAAGCCTTGAAGGTCGATAACCTGGGAGTGGATGGAATTACTAGAGTCAAAGGCAATGCCAAGCTGCAGAAGGAATGGTACAAGGGATTGAAGAGATCGTCCACGTCCCAAACCCTAACCGTAAATAATAATAAAAACAATAATAACATAAATAAATAATGATGATGATGATGATGATAATGACGAAGAGGGGAGCCTCACATGCGCGCGAGGCTCCCTTCCAAGCAAGCGCGCACTCACAACAGGCCTAAGGCCTCGCTGCACGACTCACCAGCCTCTCTAGCTTTGGTGAGCAGCCATGACCTGAGCTCACTAAACTGCCCCGCTACTCATTCGCGCCAACATCCCCTTACTCTCCTCCCCCCGTTTAGCTCTCGTCCGTTCCATGCCTCTTTCATGGCCCGCCCCAATTTCGGCAGGGGCAGAAGCGCGCCAAACATAGGTGAGCACTGCCCAGTAGTACCTCCTTTCCCCGAATTTCTTTTTCACGTTGGTGAAAAAAGTAATTCGGGAGTGTGTCGAGCCATCAGGAACTCGCCAATTTCGAGAGCTGGTGAGTTGTGGAGCGAGGCCCCTATTGTGAATACCTTGGACCCCTTTTTGCGTTCGCATTCCCCTTTCATCCAAGGACACTGTCAGGTAAACTAACAAGTCAATGGCGTATCCCCATGAAGGCGTATCCCCATGAAGCGCCACGCTTTCGGCTGTCCTTGATGACGACTCCCATTTGGAGCCTCTCCTGTTACGTCTCAAGACTCCCAACCAACGACAACTTGTACCCTGTGGGCCTGTGCTGATTACGAATCGTTGGATCGGATCTAAATCCAACCCCAGCTGCCAATCCGGGTCCAGATACAAGTTTAAACGAGAGCATTCTATCAATGCACTTACACGCATCACTATGTTCATCAGACACTAGTTTCCTCAACCTGGATTGGCAGCTGGCTGGACGTGGAAGCATAGCCACCACTCCCCCACACCCCCCCC